GTCCCCCAAACTTTCTAATATTTTGTTGCGGTCTATCAAACTTAAAATACAACACTGATAATAGAAAAATAGTAAATATATATATATATATATATATATATATATATATATATATATATATATATATATATATATATATAATATATATACATATTAACAGGATAATGTTAATCTTTCCCACAATCTTAGTTTAATTCATTAAACTATGATTTGTTTTGCATGTGCGGCCTACCCACTTCAAGTCCTCAATGTCTGGACCCTTGCTTTTATGAGGCCCATAGAGCTTTGATTAATCAATTAATACTCATTTTCTCAAGGTCTTTTCATAAACATCATCATTAATAAAAGTAGACATTCAATTAGCAACCAAATCTTGATCGCCAATTTTGGAAACACACTTCCATTCTCTGCCTCAGTTTTCTGTTATATAGTTGGAGGTGTCGTGTGGATGGGAGAATTAACTAATTTCATTAATCTAATTGTCATGGCTTTCAACCATCCCGCTAATAAGTACAAATTAATATGATTAATCAATTTGACGACATAAACTCATTCAATTACAGTTTTTCAAAGGCGAGTGGGTGTGTTGGTGTGATAGGGAGGAGGGGAGTCGAGCAGCTTGCTCTGAGCGCAACCCAGCCCCCAAAATTGAAGCCAAGTCAGGCAATTAGTCATCGGGAGTGATCTTTAGTGATCACACTGCAAACTGTTAACTCAATGGTATTTTACAAGACAAACAATTGATTTTTTTTCCCTGAAATATCTCAACTAATCAACAACCTTTAGATTTTCAACAGGGGAACCTCAGTGCTAGTACGTACAGTAATACATTGTTAATAGTAGTTTTACAGTACATGCTGCACCTTTATTTAAAGAAAGATTTTTCCACATCTAGGTCGAACTCAAATAAAAGCTGCAGCTTCATATTGTAATGTAATGTAACACTGTTCACGCCATGATTTAATATTTGGCAAATAACACGGTGGCAAACATTAGAGTAGATTAGCATGCTCTCCAAGTCGGGACTCCTTTACCAATCTATTTAGACACTAAACATGCATCTTATAACTACAAACACTTGATGGAGTCAAAAAAATTATTCAGTTCAAGTTTAGTGTATTTTCCTGCACTTCCTCATGTTGTCTGATAAAGCTTGGTCTTGATTCTCAATACATACAATGGCTGCATCTCTATATTGTGCAGGAGGGTTCAAAGAACTTGAAAGAGTATTGGTTTATAGTTCGGCAATTACAGTCAATGATTTTGAATTCATTTTATGAATAAATACACAATAATAAACAGTCCTACCAAAATCCTCCAATGAAGATGGGGTTGCGGGGCGCTTAGGCATTAGAAGTTTCCCTATGAGAATTAACGGTATTCTCTCTTGAAAGTGACCATATTTTGGCTGTCTTCATAGGACGTACAGTGCATGTGTTTAGAAGTCATAGCTATTGATTCTACACTGTCCCATTTACTGTAGTTGTCCTGTACCCCTAAACATATCTAGACTATATATGGACTATAATTGTGTCTATCTTGTTTTCTCAGAGGATGTCTTTTAATATATAGTTTTTCAAAACCTCGTTGAGAGGGATTGTGCTGGCTCAGCTGCTTTTTTGATGCCCTTTAATGCTCTCTGTCTTATCAACACCAGCCCATTCAAACTCATGTGTGATTGTTAAAGGGATTTTGTTTAGGTTGTATACATTGGGAATTTAGTTAATAAAGGCCCATCTCTAATTTGTGAAGAGAGGTATTATAGAGCAGACAATTAGACTGGATTTCGATTGGTGTATCGAGGCCTGGATGCTGACAGTCAAGAGAAGGCTTTCAAATGTCATACCAATTAATCTATCCAGCCATCAAACAATATTCTGGAAACAAAGTCAGGGGGGCGATCAATCCGCATCACTTTTCTCCTCACCGGGTTATGGGAAAATTGATTTGTCAAACAAAGCATTTTGGAAGCAGAGCATGGACTTGTTCAGGATCCATTAGCCTCCATTGAGCATTTTGTTTAACATAGGATTTTCATCACAGAGAAAATGCACTGTCCTCAATACTGAGAGTCACAACTTTACGATTTTAGATTTCTTTGTTCTTGCTTTTAAGCTTTGGAAAGTGCTGATAAGGACTGAAAGGGGCTTGAATTATTTCCCCCTGTAGATTTTTGTTTATTTGTTTTTACATTTTTTTCTTTCAAGAAGACATATGGCAGTAAGTCCTTAGTGTCTTTGGAGACTAAGGCCTATCTACTGTGCGCTGAGGGGCAATCCTAAAGAGGCTGTCCCTACCTTTGCTTTTGTATTGTTCTGAGACAGAACTGTATCACATTGTGCCCGTCATGCTGTTTTAGAGGGGAAAGCACTTCCTCTATGGGATTCTCCACCCCCATCCCCTGATAATGTATCTCTCCCTAAAGGCTAGGCCTCTATGACCTTGTCTTATTCATCGAGGGCGTCTTAAGCGAAAGAACTGAATCCTGAATGGGCCATTCCCCCTCTTTTAACATTCCTTTAATGTCATCAATGAAATATGAAGTCATTAGGCGATATTAAAACACTGCTGACAAACTAATTAACGGGACACATTAAACAGGACGAGCTTGATTAATCCGCTTTAACGATTCTTTTTAAGTGGTTCTGGTCAAAATTAATACCGATTTACTTGTGATCTTAAGCAAAAAATACTCTAGGCTACATCCAACCTCAAGGGCAACTTGGGCAATCCAAAGTAATACCTACTCTGCATCTACTGTTTATCCAGTCCATCCAGATACTTCCTATTTCAATATGATATTTTGGTAGTCTATACTATACTTTAAAATACTATACTTGTATATGGTAAATTTACTGATTGTAAGAAATGCCCCTCTCCCTCTTTCACTAAAATTTGACTGCTTGGTTTCCTTCATTACTCACGAAAAATACATGAATTTACATGAATCCGTAGCAGTCTAAGGTTGAGCCATAGACTGTAAATAATAAGGTTGAACAAAGCAAGTGCAGCACTCCTCATATACATCTATAACCCCCTCTTGTGGTTAATGCAAGTATTGCGTGTTATTGACAAATGCGCCCGTGATATACTGTAGATACACAATAAAAGATCTCATGTAAGACGAATTGGCGTACATGTTGCCAAAATACATTCAATTGAATTAATATAGATTCATTTTTGTATTACCCCAATAAACAACAGCACTAGTTTCAGAAACAACAGATCAGAGAATCAAACAATTTGAAAACAACTCGGAACATAGGAGCCATTGGTCACTAGGGTAGCAGGAATACCAATGTCCAAACATGTAAATAAATGTGCGTGAAAGTTCCTACATTTCTCGGATCATCACTATCCTTACACCCTGCTGCATCAGTAAGGAACGACTCAAAAACCCAGTAAGGAGACATTTCAGGGAGCCCCATACCTAGCCATATGATGAATTAAAGTTTTAATACTTGCCTTGGATGTAGAGATTGTGTCTGCCTCCATAGGAACCACCAAAAGTGCCCAGTTTGTTTGATATGATACTAACATGTCTTGGAGGTAGGGAGCCATACCATTTATGGGCTTATATGTCAGAAGAAGGATTCTAAATGTTATTTTACTCCACAGGATTCTAGAGGACTGACACAGGAGTTAAAAATGTTTTCCCCTTGAGGGCCTGTAAAGATTGTTGCTGCTGTATTTTGGACGAGCTGGAGGCTTTTTATGGAGTATTTAGGGCACACTACAAGCAGTGTCATTGTAAAAACAAAAGTTGAAATGACAAATTGACACATCAATTGAAAAGAGGAAACCAGTTTGGCTGAGCTCTGCATACAACCGAATGATTGTATCCACGCTGTACTGTGATTATTCATGTACAGTATTTAATGTGCTTGGGTATGTGTATTTGTTTTGATCAAACTTTTTCTTGTATAGCCCTAAATCACAACACTAGTCATCTCAGAGGACTTAACAAAACCGTTGAAATCATTTCAATCTCCTTTTGTCTTTCCTTTTCATGATTTTTTTTTTACTCTTAAAAAATGGTTTACTTAACTAGAGTTAATACAAACTATAGGTATATTCTTTTCAAAATTGCCTAAATTAATTGTCACTCTATGGAGCTTTAGCCCAGTTTGGTATATAATAACCTTCTGGTGATGTCTTCATTTACAACCAGGACATTATGGTCAAACTGGTCAAACTGGAATGGATTTTGGAAATACAAATTTGTTAATATGAATCCAGTAACGCAAAAATTAGTAAATAGCCAAATTGTTCATATGCAATTCTTATGAAATTTTCCTAAATGTTGCCAACCCATAAAAATTCAGAAGAAATTAAACGACCTATCCATCCAAATCCTGCCAAAGAAGTTCATTACAAAACCTAATCTAATAAGATAAGATAAGATGTGCTTTATTTATCTCACAAAGGAGAAATTTACAATAGCAATTTATTAGATCTTGTTTTGCAAAATAATGTTATTAAAAGTGCATTAATGATGACAGACAAATTGTCACCTATGTTGTTGCTTAGTATTTTTTTCTGTATGGATTTTTGTTATTATATAACGTTTTGATTGCCACAATGGTTTGTATTAAAACAATGATTAATTTTTAATAAAAACGTATATGTATTTGGCATGTCTTTGTGCTCTGCAATATTAAATACTTTTATTTGTAATAAATAAAAATGATACATGAAGTTGTAAAGGAAACACTCATTGCTAAACTGTGACGTATTTCCGATGCTGTGCGTGCTGTGCGTGCTGTGCATTTGCCGAAGCTTGCGTTTGGATTCGTGATTTATTTCCTTCGTTAACGTTAAAGGCTTCGATATTTAGTTTGTTTTGAAATAATCTCTTATCATAAAACATACGGATGTTGCAATTGTTGTGAAAGTCCTTCGAGACTAAACATGTAGCTTAGGCCATTCATAAGGTAGGTCAACATTAGCTGTTAGCATCGCTAACTGCCGACGCCAGTGAACCGCACAAAGGCCGCAGCATGTTTCCGTGGGGGACTTTCGGCGGAGCGCAACAGCCTCAGAACTATGGAGCCAACAACAGTGGAAATGCTGCAGCGTTTGGAGGCTCGGGCAGTGGGTCCGTGTTCTCCAGCCTCCAGGAGCAACATCTCCAGCAGATGCAGCAGCTGCAGATGCTTCACCAGAAGCAGCTTCAGTCTGTGCTGCACCACGGAGCTCAGGCCGCCGCCTTCGCTGCTCAGCCGGCCCAGTATCCCGGCTCAATGTGGCCGTCCACCGACACAGTTGTACAAGCAAACCACCCGGGGCCTACGGCTTTCTATTCCCAGAATAACTCTGCCTCCATGCACACAAGGGGTCCCATATCCCAGCCGCAAGACATCCAGCCTCCTCCGCCGTCTCAGCCTCCCCCAGCCGAGCAGCCCGCTCCTCCACCTCCAGAGCCACCAGCAGTAACCGAGCACAGTACACCCAAGCCCCCGGCTCCCGGGAGTGACACAGCCACATCATTACAGGTGACAATATAGAACTTGTCTCACAAAAGATAAGAGAATTTCTATTACTTTACATAATGTTTTCTCTATAGTCTTTTTGCACACCCTGAGTGACTCTATCTGATGCCAACTGCAACATGTATTACTCCATTGTGTTATCGATAAAGTTAATCTTATCATATCAAACAATTTCAAACCTGTATACATATTAGATACTTTATTGATCCCTGTAGGAGAAATTCAGGTGTCCAGTAGCAGTATTGTATAGTTTAGTAAATATGGTCAATAATAATTAAATGTTAATCTTTTTTTTATCATAAGGCTTGTATTTATTGTTTAATTCATTTTTGAAAATGATTCACAGGATCGACAACAGCAGTGGTACAAACAACATCTGCTAAATCTTCAAAAAATGAAGCAAGACAAAGCCAAACAAAATCAGAAGGAATTTGGTAGCACGATAGCGCAGCCACCTCCTCCAAAATCAGAACCCCCTCCTCCTCCGCCAACGGAAGAACCACCGGCTCCTCCACCACCACCACCTTCAGAGGTAAGTGACTCTTAACTTGATAAGTTATTTAATGAAATTGCAAAAATACGATTTAACCCTCTAGGCGCCACGGTCGACTTAAGTCTGTTAAGTACTGTTTAAAACGGCCGAGTGTCAAAATTCATTCATACTCCCTGCCACTAGTTGGCAGACATGTCAGACTACCTCCCTGGCCCCAAAAAAACGTAATGCTTCCATACAAAATATTCGAGCAAGACTGCGTTGAATCAGAGCGGAAAATACTACAAAGCGAGTGCAGCTGCGAGGCAGCCTGCAAGTGTTGGACCGCACCAAACACTAACTTTAGACACTTTGCACAGAGTCAGCAGTGGGAACAGTGTTTCTCAGAGTCAGGGCTGTCATTGGGAGGTTCGGAGACGGGTTAGATTTGCGGAAAACAAGCCTGGAACTCTCGTCGGGGCGCTGCACCGCGACTAAAGTCTCCGCTAAAGTCTCCGCTAATAGTGCTTCCCATTATGTATTTTCATGCCTCCCGTAATTATCGGGACAGTAACGTGTTGAAGTATGGAAGATTTTTTGTGTCATCAGATTTTGAATTTTTTTTAGTTTGAATTTTTCCGTTTGAAATTTTTAACCTTGAAAAAGCATTTTTGAATATTTTTATCTTTACATTTCAGTCACTAAAAATTCAGTTTACGAATTTCAATGTGATTACAATTTCAAAATGACATTCACCTTCAAAAGACTGATTATTTGTTCCATCAGAAATTGAATTTTAAATGGACCTGAATTCATCTATTTGAATGTTTTTAACATCTTCAATATTTTTTTCTGTGAATTTCAGTCACTGATTATCAATTTCATAATGTTAAATTCAACAGTCAAAATTCAACGAGAGAAAATTCAATGGTGAAAAATGCACATGACACATCCGGTGTTCCGACGAGTTGTGTGCTCTGTCAGTTGGTCTGCGCATAATTAACTCTGTTTTCTCTTCACTGACGTTGGAATCTCTTGTTATCCACATTAGACCCTTTAGAACTAATGCAGATTTTGTTAACTTAGAATATTTGAGAGAAAGGGAGAGAGAGATTTTTTTCTTTGTTTACGGAGCGAGTGGAGCTGAAAGAGCACATAACTTTTCACAGCTCAAGAAATAAGGAGCCATACGGTGTTCTTACCGTTGTTACTTTTTTTCAGAGACAACTCAGCAAATATAATTTAGTGTACAAGAGTTCGAGCTGTGGAATACATGTTTTTTGTTAATTCCTTTACATGGAGCTCTTTTTCAAGTAACACGAGTGAGCCCTGTGGAAACTGCTACACGGGAAACTAGACCCAAATACTGTGTAACGTTTACCAACAATAACACTGTCCTTTGTTTGTGTTCATGAAAACAATCACATTTGAACATTTATAGCAACAAACACACAGCCTAAATAAATTCTGATTGGCTACGCGCCGCAGTCACCTAGCAACGCGCTCGTCTGTTCCCGGAGGACACCACACACAAAGAGAAATCAGGCCAGAACAATCCAACATGTTGGATATCCCCAATTTTGAGATCGGAGCAGTCCCGAAGTCCTTCCGAGCGACGAGCGCAGTCTTAACACACCACACATGCAGGGCTTAAAGTTTTCCGGCACCGTGCCGGAAATCCGGCGTGAGAAAAAAAAAAATAAAAATCACTTTTTTTTTTTTTTAATATATATATAAATAAATAATGATTGCTGTCATTTGAAAAAGGTTCAAGTGTGTTCTACCAATTGTATGAAAGGATTGCATGTGTATAGCGCAGGGATTAAAGAGTTCCGTCTAAGTGACGGATTTCCGTCAAATGAAATTGGTCTGAAAAAAAAACAAAATATATAATAATAATATAATACACACAATGAAATGGTTAATTATAACAAAATATATAGTAATACGTGTGAATCTGTTGTATATATCTAGATATATATTAATAATTTGAATATAATTGTATTTATATGTATATAGAAATAAAAAGTAATATAATCACGAGTGGGCCTTGAACGTGCCGTGGCTAGCTACATGAGCGCTCCGTAAATGATTCAAGGCAATGGGACGTAGCCAAGTTAGCGATGGTAACACGGAGGTGAAAGTTTCTGAAAAGTGCACGGAGCTTTTGAAAAGGAGAAGAGGACAAGGAAAATGTAATCCCGAACGGAGCAATAACAGCCAGCAGCCCGCGGACCGGTAAACTGGGCGCGTTATCAGAGGAAAGGTAGGACATAATTAACGTTTACCAAACGCAATGCTTTTTTATTTAACGGAATGTACAATATGTACTTTGCTGTGACTGGGAATGGGGACAAGCATGTCTTGGTGAGCTTTTGATAATATCTTGGTGGCGATCCCCATGCAAAACTGCGTGATAAAAAAGCAAATCAACGAGAGCGAACGGAAGAAACTCGCAGAAGAAAGGTGTGTGTTAGCAGGTCTTATATTCATTCATCAAAGCTAGCCTAGCATTCACGCACAATCACAATCATGGATCGTTGTTTATGGAAGAAGGAGCTGTATAAGTTGCTGTTGATAACGGAGTGAAAAATAAATGGAGGTGGGCATGGCTGGATGAGGTGGAGACGATGGGATTCTGTTGCTTCATGGTGCAAAAAGATGAAGGTGTCCGGTGCTTGTTCGTACTTCGCTATTATTATTTTTTTATATGGGAGTAATGAGAAAACAAATCAAACAGCTTTGGATTCACCACCAGCTCAAAACTGCGCACTTGGCAGCTGTCCGTGCACTTTCCCACACTTCTTTACCTGGTGCATCAGATTCAGCGACAACTGAGACTAGGCTTGCTCTGGTGGACTGTGTCTGTGACCTAAAACTATCTGTGGCTTTATCGCAGAAAATAACCTGTCGTTCAGAACCATCACTACCGCTGGTAGATTTAATTATCATTAATCATTTGCAGTTGATAAAACTGCGCTGTGCACTAGCACCAAGTTGATAGGGAAACCTTTTTCTTAAACATTGAGTGTCCACAAACAAATGTGGACAGAATTTTGAATGTCCTTTTTAACATGTTGGGCGGAGGGTTTAATGAGGAGGCTACTTTGTCTGAACAATTAAATAGAGGGAAAAAACCGCATGGTCCAGAGGAGGAAGCAGCTGGTGCAGAGGAGAGTTGTCTGGCTGGTCCAGGAGGAGGAGGCAGCTGGTGCAGAGGAGAGAAAGTTGTCTGGCTGGTCCAGAGGAGGAGGCAGCTGGTGCAGAGGAGGAGGCAGCTGGTGCAGAGGAGAGTTGTCTGGCTGGTCCAGAGGAGGAGGCAGCTGGTGCAGAGGAGAGTTGTCTGGCTGGTCCAGAGGAGATGATAAAAAGGCTGCAGCCCCACCGCACCAGCCAGACAACTCTCCTCTGCACCAGCTGCCTCCTCCTCTGGACCAGCCAGACAACTCTCCTCTGCACCAGCTGCCTCCTCCTCTGGACCAGCCAGACAACTCTCCTCTGCACCAGCTGCCTCCTCCTCTGGACCAGCCAGACAACTCTCCTCTGCACCAGCTGCCTCCTCCTCTGGACCAGCCAGACAACTCTCCTCTGCACCAGCTGCCTCCTCCTCTCCACCAGCTGCCTCCTCCTCTGGACCAGCCAGACAACTCTCCTCTGCACCAGCTGCCTCCTCCTCTGCACCAGCTGCCCACTCCTCTGGACCAGCCAGACAACTCTCCTCTGCACCAGCTGCCTCCTCCTCTGGACCAGCCAGACAACTCTCCTCTGCACCAGCTGCCTCCTCCTCTGGACCAGCCAGACAACTCTCCTCTGCACCAGCTGCCTCCTCCTCTGGACCAGCCAGACAACTCTCCTCTGCACCAGCTGCCTCCTCCTCTGGACCAGCCAGACAACTCTCCTCTGCACCAGCTGCCTCCTCCTCTGGACCAGCCAGACAACTCTCCTCTGCACCAGCTGCTTCCTCCTCTGGACCATGCGGTTTTTTCCCTCTATTTAATTGTTCAGACAAAGTAGCCTCCTCATTAAACCCTCCGCCCAACATGTTAAAAAGAAAGCATACAGATAATTCACACCCTAAACAAAAGAAAAAGAAATGAATATTTCAAACAGTACTGTTAGCATTTGTGTTGTTTTGTAATGTTTTACCAAATCAAAGTCTATTGAAAGTTAACACAGGTGCTTTATGAAGACACACAGCACAAAGCTCATTTGCACTTTAGTTTCATTTATTTGTGTTGAAAGCTAAATGTTTAATAAGTAGAATTTAAAAGTTAAGGTTTATTTATATATTTAAGGTTGAATCTGGAAGTGTTCTTGTTGCCTGATCCAGTGTTTTTAGTTTTTGTATGTCATATCTGATGTCTAGTTTGGATGTTTAATCAGTTTACAGTTTACACATAAAATGTTAGTAATAACATCAATAATAATTAAAAAAAAGAAAATAGTATATTCACTTACTGTGATGTGGTATGTTTTTTTTTTTTTTTACATTATCACACAAATCCAAACTAGGGGTACTTGCAGAAAGGTCTTGGCAAGGTGAGGCTTTACATTTAAGTAACAATTCAATAGTCAGATGATGTATTTATTGCCAACAACTGATGTTTATAATAAACATCAGTTGTTGGCAATAAATAGATATAAATTATATGTATGAGCGTATAAAGGCGCTTATAAAAAACGCTTATTAGTGATCATTCTATGATTCATATAGATGGTTCAGGCTCAGGAATTTTTTCAACTTTAACCCATGCACATGGCAAGAAAATCCATCAGATTTTTTTTACAAAAATCGGAGCGTTCTTAAGATTGTCGTTAGGGGTAAATCGGGTCTTAAATCGGCCTAATTATCCTGCTATGTGAACCAGGCTTTACATATTATCTCTGTCGCTTTTCTTTTTCAGAGAGCCCCTCCATATGTTAGGGCTGAGAGTGCACAAGGTCTTCTCACTAAGTGCATAAAGAGATGCACATTTATATATTTTTTATGTTTTTAACCTCTTAACACCCGCCTCATTTTGGCTTGTGCACAAAAGTTGGGCATACCCAAATGTCTTTGC